TAAAACCCGATTGTGATGTTGCCGCCATATAATTATTAACATCGTATATGTGGCATGTAGTATCCTATACATCGTGTAGTTTTGACACATTCTTATATTCTAGATGATTTTTACCATATTAGACTATACGTCATGTAGCTGACAAACATTTTTCCTTCATATTATATTGTGCTCGCATCCATCATCATCTGAGATTGTCGTATCATCACCACGTATATATGCTTCCTTTTTTGCAGAAAAACTGGGGTTTTCATATCACTTCCCTCATAATCCCAAAGCATGAGTATACCTCAGAATATGTATGTTACTCGTTTTGTGTAGCCTTTTACATGTTTTCACCATGGGTGGTTCTTCTCACACTTGCTCCATCCTCATTCGTTAATGTACAGTGTCAAACACTAAATAAAGAAGAAATAGTCGAAGGTCATGACAGACTCTCATTATTTCCCTTGAGTTTTGATCAATGTAAGTTCTCCCAGCCTCATCCACCAACAAATCCATGTCATTTCATTCACTCTTATAGTGTTTAGAGATAATACAAATAGCTCTATCAATAAGATCCACTCGTTGAATAAAAAACACTAGTTGACAAAAAAAAATCCACTGGTTTAGGAAAATTGTCTTCTGGTCGAGTTTGGTTGGCTTGGGAAAGATTAAATCGAAAAACTGCCAAATCTTGCCATAAATAGCTCCGGTTTGGTTTAATGATTTCTTCAAGGATCCGCCTGATCCAGTGAGGTATTGTGCATCCTGGGATATTGTAGAGGCCCTCTAGGAGCTGAACAAAGTCGCCTGGTTGCCAAAATTGAGTTTGGTTTGATGGAAAACCCGGATCTTCCAATTTAGGCAGGTGTGGAACTGGTTTGGCCGGTTTGGTAGATTGGGCCTTAACTCCATAGTTTCGTGGACATTTCTTCTCATTCTGGACTTGTTGGAAAGCTAAGAGATCCATCTTGAACTCCAGACTTTGGTTTTGGTCGGAACTCTTCTTGGTTGGGCTTGAGACAGCTTCTAAACTCGGGTACTCGCAGATGGACGGGCTGGGAAACCTCTGAATTGTAAAATTCATAACTTCCGGATTCGTGAAGCTTTTCTTGAAATTAAAATTGTACCTGACTACTCCTTGAGTTTATAATGCATGAAAATTGGTTTCATGACAAAATTCTTCCTGGTTAGTGAGATAAGTCGTTTTTATTGAGCACATATCCTGGTTAGTCTTTTGGTGGGCAGATTGGTACATCTTGTTGGCCTCTGGTTCAGGTACTGATTTGATGGCCTCATCAACTAGTTGGCAAAAAAAAAATCCACTCGTTGATAAGCTCTTATTGATATTATTGTGGGTAATTACATTATGGTTTCAGACGCACCCTACACAACTTGCTTCATGTGAACAGTTAATCTTCACACACTACTAGTATTAATATCAGGTAACAAAGACTTACACCTTCAATTACCTTAAAATCAATCACTTACATACATTTATTTTAACATATGGTCCACCACATACATATCTTTCATCTCACCTGATAATGCTACCGGAGGCAGTTGCAATCGTAAAGGCTTCAACGGACTAAACAACACCTCACGGAATATTCCATTTGTCGGATCCATCTGGAGTATCCGTGATCCGTAACAGCCAACAACGAGGCTTCGACCCGCACAAAGAGTCAAAAGACGGCAACCCAATCTACGAGCATTGCTCACACGTCCTCGATCTCCACTGAAACCATTCCTTACCCAATCATAGACATGTTATTGGTTTAAACCTCGGACAGAACACAAATGCATGATACTAAAGTGTATACTTGTTAAAGACCCTACCAAGTGGGTAAGCCAACTTGAGTGATTATGATTGTATAAATATGATATTGACTCCAAAAACGAATATGCTACTTTTAAAATTCGTAGTATACCACTTAAAGCAAGTTTTGCTTGAAATATAGTGTTTCATATGATAATTATATGTATTTTCAAATTACCTATACCACTATGGTGTAAAGACTCGAGAATCATCAATGCAACTTGTAACCCAAATCTAATAAATATTTTTGGTTTTAAGAGGTAAAATGTTCTTAAGAAATTTATTTAAACATAAAATTTCGAAATTTTATTAGTTAATATGGATATTATAATTTCTAATAATAATTAGAATTATAAAAGTAATTAAAATAATAAATTAAACCGATGTATTGTAAATATTATGCATTTTATTAGTTAATAGTGATAAGTTGTAATTTCTAATAATAATTAAAAGAGAAATTTCATTTGATAGTCATTTTTAGTTTATTTCACAAAATAGTATTTAAAGAGTAAAATAATCAATATAAATTTTTATTAAAAGGTAATAAGATTTAAAGTTAAGAGATGGGTTTTGAGTTTAGGATTTCAAACTTTTAAAAATAAAAGTAAATATCATAAATTTTAAAATAAAAATAGGTTATTTTGATTTTTTTTTTTTTGAAAGATTATTTTTTGGTGACAAAAAATTAAGAAGGGCTATTTGAAAGAATTGCAAATAGCCCTAATTAAAATGATAAAAGTAATTAAAATTATAGATTAAAAGGATGTATTTAAACAGAGGATTTATCATTCCTCTTTTCTCATTCCCCTCTACTTCCTCTAGGGTTTATCCTCTATCCGCCGATTCTATTTACACAGTTATTCGTAGTCGGCACTTTCATTCACACCGGAGAGGAAGCTAGAAGAATCAGTAAGCCATGTCTCTGAGACCCAACGCTAGGACTGAGGTTCGCCGGAACCGCTACAAAGTGGCGGTGGACGCCGAGGAAGGACGAAGGAGGAGAGAGGACAACATGGTCGAGATCCGTAAGACCAAGCGTGAAGAGAGCTTGCTCAAGAAGCGCCGCGAAGGTCTTCAGGCCACGCAACTTCCTCAGTTCGATCCCTCCTCCCTCGCCGCTGCTGCTTCTTCCGTCGAGAAAAAGGTAAAAAGAAAAATCATTACGGATCTTCAGCCGATGTTAGAGTGTTTGTGTCGGATTAGAACTAATTAGACCGTTTCGATTGAACTAGTTGGAGAGCTTGCCTTCTATGGTCGATGGAGTTTGGTCTGAGGACAGAAGCTTACAGCTTGAAGCCACCACTCAGTTCAGGAAACTGCTTTCTATAGGTAACTGTTTTTTTTTTTGCTATATCTGTGATTGCATTAGTTATTGAAATGTTTTGTTTTGAATCTTCTGGCAGAGCGTAGTCCTCCTATAGAGGAAGTGATAGCTGCTGGTGTTGTGCCTCGCTTTGTGACGTTTCTCATGAGGGAAGATTATCCACAGCTTCAGGTTTGTTTGATCCATTATGTTATCTTAACATTGGATACAATTTTCATCTGATACTCTTGTACTGTTTGTGTGGATTCAGTTTGAAGCTGCTTGGGCATTGACCAACATTGCTTCTGGGACTTCAGACCATACAAAGGTGGTTATTGAACATGGTGCTGTTCCGATTTTTGTCGGACTGTTGGCTTCCCAGAGTGATGATGTCCGTGAGCAGGTAAGCTAATATGTTCCTATGGTTTTTTCCTCATTACAAAATCCTTCTCAGACATCAATTATGTTCTTAGAGTAACATGTTCATGTGTTAGGCCGTTTGGGCGTTAGGGAATGTTGCTGGTGATTCTCCACGGTGCAGAGATCTTGTCCTAGGTCAGGGAGCTTTGTTACCATTGCTCTCTCAGTTGAATGAGCATGCTAAACTCTCAATGCTCAGAAATGCTACTTGGACCCTCTCCAATTTCTGCAGGGGAAAGCCACAGCCTCCCTTTGACCAGGTTTCTCTCTCTCGTTTCAGTCTTGCTCTCTGGTTTATTTGATCAAGGGAGATTTTCTTAATTTCTGTGATCTCATGAGAGCAGGTTCGCCCAGCACTTCCAGCCCTTGAGCGTCTGATTCATTCGACTGATGAGGAAGTGTTAACTGATGCTTGCTGGGCCATTTCTTATCTTTCTGATGGTACCAATGACAAAATCCAATCTGTCATTGAGGCAGGTGTTGTTCCACGACTTGTCGAGCTTCTCCTGTGAGTCTTTTCAGTCCGTGATTCACATTGCTTTCGAACATGATCATGTGTTAATGAATATCATTGGGTTTTGGCTTGTTGTAGGCATCCATCACCAACTGTACTCATTCCTGCACTTCGCAGTATTGGTAACATCGTCACTGGAGATGATGCACAGACACAGGTAAACTTATTCTTTTATAGATTTCAGTTATTTCTATTCGGTATGCATGTTCCACTCTTCCTAGAACATTAATTTGACGAATGAGACACCACTGGCATAGCCACTGAATGTGAGCATTTTTACTATAAAATTTGGTTGTCAGAAGTTACTTGCGTAGCTTCCAGCCACTTGTCAGATTAAAATCACCTTAAGAATGTTAGGTGTACCTCTAGGATGGGATCTACAATTCTTTTACTTGTTATTTATTGGTTGGTTCTGAGCTGATGATTTTTTTCCTGCAGTGTGTAATTAGTCATGGTGCTCTCCTTAGCCTTTTGAGCCTTCTGACTCACAACCATAAGAAGAGCATTAAGAAGGAAGCTTGCTGGACAATCTCAAACATCACTGCTGGAAACAGGGACCAGATTCAGGTAAACGTTTGCTGAATATTGATTTTATTGAGAAGAGCATTAAAAAGGCCTCTTTTGTTTATAATTTGAAAAGTCTTGGTTGGAATCCTTACCTCCAACAGAGATTTTATGTGTTCATCTTCTCTAATATTTGTTCTGTAATGCAGGCTGTGTGTGAAGCGGGTTTGATTTGCCCCCTCGTTAATCTGCTTCAGAATGCAGAGTTTGATATAAAGAAAGAAGCTGCATGGGCAGTATCAAATGCAACGTCTGGCGGTTCTCCTGACCAGATCAAGTAAGCTTCTAATTTTTATATCAGTGACCCCACCTTGGGTTGATCTAGCTTCGTTTAAAAATAATATTTGCCAGGTCACTTATTTCTCCTGTGTTGCTTGCTTTAGGTACATGGTGGAACAGGGAGTGGTAAAACCACTGTGTGATCTTTTGATATGTCCTGATCCAAGGATTATCACCGTGTGTCTAGAAGGTTTGGAGAACATTCTGAAAGTCGGGGAAGCTGAGAAGGTGACGGGAAATACCGGAGATGTCAACTTTTATGCACAGTTAATTGATGATGCTGAGGGATTAGAAAAGATTGAGAATCTGCAGAGTCATGACAACAGCGAGATCTATGAGAAGGCAGTGAAGATTCTTGAAACATACTGGTTGGAAGAGGACGACGAGACAGTAACACCTGGTGATGGCTCTGCCCAGGGCTTCCAGTTTGGGGGTAACGATGCAACCGCACCGCCTGGTGGATTCAATTTCCAGTGAAGGTAATAAATAACTCAGAACTAACCCTGTCCAAATGTCTGAACATCTCAAACTAGGAGGAGGTGGAGTATGTCTGTCTGTGTAATTTTTTGAGTCTTGTGTTTCTTTCGACAGGAGCTAAGCATGATGATTGAAGAGACGTGAGGGAGGTTTTTGAGTTTTGTTTGAGCGCTGGTTAAATGAGGTCTGATTAGAGTCTGGTCGTGTGTAAAAATCAGATGGGGTGCCTTGGTCTGGTCTGGTTGGTTTGTGTTATGAGAAGTCAAGCTTTGTTACATTTTGTACTACACAACACTGCAAAGTCAAAAACATAAAAAGTTGGTCAAACTTTTTTTTTAATTGCTAGTGCGGTCCAAGTCATTTTGGGCTGTTGTTTTGTCTGCGTATGCACGCGTATCTCTATTTATAATGCCAATATGTCTCCGTTAATCGATGTTATTAATGCTTGTCGTCAACGTTCGAGCAGAGTTTAATTAATATCAGGAATCTCTAATGTTTTCGTTCAAACCGGAAAATTTTGTCTTTGAAGACGAAGAAAACGTACTTTTATAAATAATATAAAACTGATTAAAATGAAGTGCGGATGAATGATGTAATGAAGACGTTGTATAGTTTAAAATACAAACCAAACTAAATGACAATTCAGCAATTTTGCTGGTAGTTATATTATATGAAGAAATATGTATATGTTTATATTTGTCTGATTAGTAATTAAAAAGTTTTAATTTTTAAATTTTAAATTTTAAAAAGTAAACAAAAAAAAATTCCAGTATATATTTTTAAAAGATCTGTAAAATTTAAAATAGTTCAACATAAACCTTAGTTTTTAAAAATCTTTCTCTTATAGAAAAGCAATATTATATTGAGATTTTTTAATTATTTATTAAATAACATATATTAGATTAGGTAATTTTATGATTCATTTTCTTTAAAAACTTGATTCAAATAAGTGAAAATTCAAATACCAAAAACTAAACAAATTAAGAGAATTAATTCTAAATTTCACATATGAGTGACATCTTAACAAAAATCACTAAATTGATTTCTCAATTAATATAAAATAGGATGAGAATATGATATTTTAAATATAGTATCATATGTATTTATATTTATATTATTAAATTTATGTAGTATCATATGTATTTATATTTATATTATTAAATTTATATAATGTAATTTATGATAATCAATTGTTTCAACAAAATTATTATGTTAATTCATTTAAATTTAAGAAGTTTGATTGTTTATTCGGTAATATGACTTATTTCCTTTTAAAAACTTGATTTAGATAAATGAAAATTCAAATATCAATCTATTTTATTAATATAGAAGTCACAACTTCTTTTCATGTTTGATTTTTTTTTTAAACGGATCATTACTAGAATATCATTATTTTAAGTATATGTATCATTTAATTTGCATAAGCAATAAAAAATAATTCTTATCCTTATATTTCATTAATGCGTCTCACTTACTAAATACCCCTTGCTCTTCACAATAAGCCCTAAAATTATTTTCGATTCTTTCTAATCCTTCTTCTACCCTTTCAGATGAAAAAACTTCATGTCTCATCTCACATATAAGGTTAGTATCATTCTCGAGTGAATACTTCTTTATGTTAAAATGTATGAATATTTCCAAAGCAACTTTTCAAACAATTGACCATTGCAGTTCATAAAAAAGAGGAAATATAAACTTTTCGATGAGCTATGGAATAATCTCATACAGCTCACTCGAACTTGCTTCCACAGAAAAAAAAAATCTCACTCAACCACTGTTTAGGAGCTTAGACGTGGCTCTTTTCATCGGATTGTTTTCTTCCACTATAGAAAGCATGAGTCTAGGAGATAACAACACCAAAGGAATTATGGGGATGACGTGTAAGAACATCTCCAACTTCACTTCATAATTTACTGCAAAATGAAGTGGAAAATTGAGTGATGAAGAAACAAAAATCTCATTACTCCATATTTGGAGTAATCACTTTTTTTTTCTTCATTACTCCATTTCCCACTCCATTTTACAGTAAAATATGGAATGGGGTTGTAGATGCTCTAAGAGCTACGCCAACGTCAAATATTTGAAGAAAATTTCCATGGTCGCCGCCGCTGCAGCCATGGATGGCAGCAGAGGAGGAAGAAAATCAATCGTCGATGGTGATCAGACTATTCTAAGTTACAATCAATGTAATTAATTTCTTTGATATTTTTGGTTATGATTGATAAATATCTTTATTTTCTATTTCTGATTGTGTTTTGGTGATTGATAGATTCGTCTTAAAACAAAAACGAGAGCGCACGTGAAATATGTTGTGCTTAACAAACTGACTTTTTCTGTGTAAAATCATCCATCTTATTAAATAGTGTCCGTTTAGGTCATTAGGTGGATTCAGTTTTCCTTCGAATCTTGGATAATATTTTACTAACATATATATAATTTATTATGTTTTCCCTTTTAATTTTCTTCCATTTGTGCTGATTATTTGAGTTTAAGTTGTTGAAGTATTTGATAGGAATGTGCTTAGAAAATTATTTTATGCATGCATGTTTCCTACACAAGCTACTTTTATTTTATTATTTTTTTTGGTCAAAAACACAAGCTACTTTTATTAGGATATTTATAAAAGACGAGAAGCTGAACAACAAATTGGGTGTTTATTAACATTTTTGATTCCGAACCAGTAATCCAATTCGGTTGTATGTGATTGACAGATATTGAGAACAAAACAGAAAACACTCAATTTAGAGTGAGAGACAAAGATATCAACATACATATAACTAAAAACAAACATCCACACGATAGTGTGGATCAAATGTCTAATAACTGATTAAATTAAAAGAATTAATTTTAAATTTTATCTATGAGTGATATCTAAACAAATGTCACTAAAGTGGCTTCACAATTTATATATATAGTATAATTGTTTGTGAACAAAATTACAAACATAATGTGTGTAACAACAGTTAATAAAAAAAAATGCATGTATCTCTAAACCCAAATTGGTATGTATAACGGGGGATACAAATCCAACGGTCTTAAATTTGTAATACCAAAAGTAACAAAGAATATTTATTTTTTGTTACTCGTTAATTAGAGTTATTACAATTTATAAATTTTAGTTTTCCCTCTCATTATTTCAGTTTTCTTGTTTGTTTATTTTGGCGGGTGGCTCCATGGTAATTAACCCCCCGCTCGAGGGTAGTCTTGTAATTAGAAGAGGGGAATCTAGGGTTTGTTAAGTCGCGGCCTCCACCTTTACTATAAAAACCCTCTCCGTTTGTTTTATCCGTTACTCCTCTCCGCCGTCTCTCTCTCTCTCTCTTTCTTATCATCACACTCTCACTCTCTCTGCTTCACAAGCAGAGCTTTCTGATTCAGTCTCCACCATTTCTATTGTTTCTGCTTCTGTGATACTTGAGCTTAAGCTCGAAGTGAATCAATGTAAGTTTTCTTTGATCCTTCTTACTTGTACATCCTGATCACGTTTCTTGAACTGAACTTTGACTGCATCTTTTCGTTTTGTAGATGTCAATGACGGAAGAAAGTAAGACGACGAAGCTCGAATCGGCGGGAGACTCTTCGGATGTTGAGAACGGGAACTGTAGCAGTAGCGGAAGTGGAGGCGATACTAAGAAGACGTGCGTTGATTGCGGAACAAACAAGACTCCACTTTGGCGTGGTGGCCCTGCTGGACCTAAAGTAAGATCATATCCATTATTTGTGATTTCCTTTATAAGTAGATCTAGCCAAAAGGGTGCTTACATCTACTCAAATGTGGGTTGATCTTGTGTTCTTAGGTCTGCTGAAAGTGTGTTTCAGTATAGCTTTTACTTTATTAGTGTTGATCATTGACGAAGAACATAGCTTGCTCATCTTTATACTCTGTTTCCATTTTTGTTGTTTCTGTGTTAATCAGAAAGTAGATCTTGTACACTGTGTTGTGTATTGAAAAAGGTTAAAGCTTGATATCTGATCCAAGTTTTGTTTTTGCAGTCATTGTGTAATGCCTGTGGGATCAAGAGTAGGAAGAAGAGGCAAGCAGCTCTTGGAATTAGACAGGAGGATAGTAAGATCAAGAACAACAAAAGTAACAACAATCTAGCTGTCGACAATCAGATGGTCAAGAACGGGAAAGGTGATTCAGGAAATATCAAGAACAACAAAAGCAACAATAGTCTCGCCCTCGATAATCAGACGGTCAAGAACGGAAAATATGATTCAGGAAATGTCAAGAACAAGATCACGACAGAGACTGGGGATTGTAATAACAAGAAGACTGTGAAAAAGGCTAGTGGATTTTTGGATTTAGGGTTTAAAGTACCGGCGATGAAGAGATCTGTGGTGGATAAGAAGAGGCTATGGATGAAGCTCGGTGAAGAGGAACGAGCCGCAGTACTTCTCATGGCTCTTTCTTGTGGTTGATTTTTGTTTCTCAACTCTCTTTTTTTTTTGTCGGAATGGTTTAGGAAGAGATTAGGGAAAATAAGTTAGTAAGGAAATGATGAATGGAGGAGATTTATTTATGTAATCCTGTCAGAAGGCGAAGCTAGTGTTATGCTACTTACTACTAATTAACTAATTAATTATTCGTTTTCACTCTAATAGTAGAAGTTAAGATCAGTCTCGTGTCGTTTGTCAGATGATTTATAAGGGGACCAATTTGGAATTTTAAACATTTGTTTTTTTTTCAAAATTCAGTTAATTAACTCCAGCTGTTCCCAGTTATCTCTCGTACACACTGTGTACTACACACTCGATGCGACTCCACATACACGCGTTAGGATAGCGCGTGATATAAACGGGCCAGCGATGAAACAGCCACGACTGTTATTGGGCTTTTGTTGGTGAATAAAAAGAGTCGGTGATTGAGACAACACAATCAGGGTAGACATTTCTGTTATTTTATAGGTTCGGTTGTTATTTTATAGGTTCGGTTCGGTGTGGTTAATTCGGTCCTAGAATTTTTCCAATTGAAATAAGCAATAATTAGTTTGGTTTGGACCAGTTTCGATTTGGTTTGTATTCTGTTTGGTTTGTGTTTCGATTCGGTTTAATCAAATTTTTAATTTAGTTCTTTAACCATAAATCATGGTTTAAAACATAAATGGTGATGACTATAAAAAAATAAACTATCTAAACTAATTCTAACATAACAACTTAAACAAAAACTCTTAAAACACAAATTTTTTTTATAAGAACACCATAAAATCAAAATTCACTAAAGTAAATAGAAAAAAAAATCACTTATAATACCTATTAAAAATAAACTACGTAAATTAAATCAATATAAAACTGAAACAAAACCTTAAAAACTTATATAAATTTATAAAAACACAATGAAATCAAAGTTAACTAAAGTAAATTGAAAATTGGAAAAATTCAACTTTGTTAGTAAAGTTAATACTGACTTTAATTTTAGAACTTTAGTATATTATATATTTCTAATATGTTTAATTTAAATAATAATAAAACCCACTAATTTCTTGGTTCAGTTTTAATTCGGTTCGGTTCGAATCGGTTTTGGTTCGATTGGTTCGGGTTGGAAAAATCTTAAACCAAACTATTTTATAATAGACTTGATTTGGTTTGGATCAGTTTCGGTTTGGTTTAACTCGGTTTGAATTTTTTGCCCACCCCTAAACAGAATCCGCACGCCTTCATTCTCCTTTTCCTTCTATTAGGGTCTTTTCTCTGCGATACACGCGGATAGTATATTTTAATATTTTATTTTTTTAGAAACGTTTTTGTATTATTATGTCAATTGAATTGTGTGAGTTTATATTTAATTTAACAAAATATTTGTACTTTTATTAGTTTATCATTGAAAAAATCCATGAAAATACATCAACTAAATAGCATTAAGCTTTGTAATACCTAGACTTGTGTATTACCCAATTTCATACCTAAATTAATTATTTATTCATTTTAATTCACTTAGCTTTACAACTCTACTCATTTTATATCGAAATGATTTATAAGTTCAAATGAAAATTAAAAAACCTTCAAAACTCACAAAAAATCTTAAAATTTATATTTGTATTTTAAATTTAGGAATAATGTATCTAAACTGCGAATAATATTTAAAAATATAATATTAGTTGCAGATTACATTTACAATTTAGTTTGCTTTCTAAAGTTTAAAACTAATTTATTCATTTTAAAAAACCATTTTATATTATTATATATTATTTTATTTTGAGTTTGTATTTAATTTAATAAACTTTTAAGTAGTTCTATGTTAAATAGTTTTCTCTGAATATTTTTTAAAAAGATTTGTTCATATTTATTCTTTAAACATAACTTCTGAGGGTATATATGTTGGATTATCTTGTTTCAGTATTTGATTATTTATGTTAAAACGGGTTCATATGAACTTTTATGTCAGTAACAATTTTAATTTGCATATATATAATCTAATGTATGTTGTTTACTTTTCCGGAGAGATTTACTTTTAGATCATAGACATATATATATATATCAATACAGATTGTTTAACTGTATTTGTTTTTGTAACTTAACTTCTTTTTTCCAGACCTTTTTGTAAATTATACAAATAATAGGTATGTATATTATTTTTTCATTTTAAAAGTATTTTTGATTCCAAAAACCCTTTGGAGAAAAAGTTTTAATCCATGGTTTCATGAGATTTACTCATTACTTGCCTCATTAAAACCAAAGCTGACCACATATGGCTTTGCCTATTGATTATATAAAAAAAGATTGAAAATAATGACTGAAATCCGCATAACATATATGTTCATTTGTGAGCAGTGTAACTTACAACCAATCTATGTTTTAGAAAAACAAAACAATTTAAAATGAGAATAAGAATTGTTGCATGTTACTTTTTAAAACTCATTTCTTGTTGATTTGTTAATTCATCTCAAATCTCAATAATATAGTAAAGTGAAGTGTGGATAACTTTTCCACGTATGCTTGTGTTTGCATTGTATGATTACAAAATTTGATTTTCTCATATAATAGTTTTGGTGACTGATGATGCTTAATCATAGCTAATGCATCTAACAAAGTAGATGCTTTCTATGTGAATTTAGTACTGCTTGCATTTGAAAAAAGAAGAAGAATATGATGTTATTGGCCTGAAGTCAATGTGCAAGAAGTAAGAACATATACTTTCTGTCTTTGAATTTCTAAACTTAAGGAGACTGGATACTAAAATATTTAGTATATAGACACGGGAAAGTCCTGAGATGTAAATCAGAAAATATACTTACTTGAAATTACTTTGTTTAAAAACTTTGATCCTAAATTTTACAATCTATAAAGAGAGATCTGAACGCTTAGTGTATCAAACAAAATCTCTGAATGTTTTTCTTTTCTCACCAGCAAAAAAAAAAAACAGAGTTTGGTCTCGGGATCATAACCCCTCCAGCCTCAACAAATAATTCAAGAGGTAAAAATCATTTTAGAGTTCCCCTTTTGTAATATTTTATGAATTATATATCAGTTTTACTAAAACATAAATATATTTTTATATTCTAACTTTTAAGCAGAACATGTTTTCTGTTTTCTAAGTAGAACATGTCTACTATTAATATAATTAGTAAACATATAAAGTTAATATCAATAATAAAGTTAATGAATTAAAAATTAATAATTTTATAATATTTTAAAAATGTTAATATCAATAATAAAGTTAATGAATTAAAAATTAATAATTTTATAATATTATTAAATAAATAAATATTAGCACAAATATTTTTCAACAAAAAAGAAAAAAATATGTTTTACTTAATTTGATAAAAGATTTTCGAGCTTAAAAAAATATAAAATTACGTAAATCAACATTTTAAATATGAAGATCATATCAAAAAATTACGTAAATCAACATTTTATACAATTTACATGTTGTTATATTACTATATTTAATAAATTGGTTTATGTAGTTAGAGTTGGTTTGATCGGTTTGTATACGAAACCATATTCACATACCGTTGTTTCTTAAAATAACATTCATTCGTTTTATTTAATATTACCAAATACAACCACTTTCTCTATTTCGGTTTGATTCTGTTTTAATTGGTTCAATTTTATCAAATTGATTATCTTTATAATAGGTGTACTATTTAATAAGGTATGTGTGAAGAGACTCGTAAGTTAACATTTTAAAAGCAAATCATGCAGTTTGTGGTAGAACAAAGTTACTATTGTAACGTAAAAACTTGAATGAGAGCTTGGTAAATCAAGTGTCATGAAGAAGAAGCATGTTGCATGGACACTGCGGGATGAGAAAATGAACGGATGAATTTCTCGATCTGCTTGTAGTGGAAACTTTGGATTTGTATATAACAGTTTCAAAACCTGTTCATTGTATATCGGTTTATGCTGATTCAAATAACTTATCAAATAATTCATCTAGCATCGACAAAGTATGAAATAACTTCTGCTGACTTTTGTAGCATGTGTAGCATAAGGTTCTTTCTCAGTTCCACCAAGACGAATTGCTCTCTCTTGGCCCATTCTAAGTTGAGCAGCTTCTCTCTCTGCAGCTTGATACTCTGCGCTCTCTCGGGCCTCTTCTTCTTATTCTTCTACGCGCTTCCTCTCTGCCTCAACAGCTTTCCTTTTTAAACTCTTCACCTCTTCTTGTTTCTGTATCTATCTCTCCTTGTACACAGCACTATTAATCATCTCTTTCTCCTTCAAAGCTTTCTACTTCTGCTTCTCCTCCTCCTTCTCCTTCTGTTTTTTATAATCCGGCTCCGGTTCTGTTTTCCACTCTACCTCGAGCTCCTTACCAACCCTCTCATCCTCCTGAGCCGCAGCTTCACCACCCTCCCAAATCATGATCTGAACACTGAACAAAATATGAAGAGCTTATCAACCGCTGATCCCTTCAAAGGATGAAGAGGTTGCAGCTTAAGATAGTTTTTGTTGGATACTAAACTGAAGAATTGTTGTGATGTTGTCTGCGATTCAAATCTATGCCTTATAAAACATTATAAAACACAACTGATAGAAGTTTTCTATTAATTCATTAAGACCATACCTTTCCCATCTCCAGATGAACATCATGACGATTTGTGATCTAAGAAATTTCTTCGTTCTCCATCTCCAAGACTGTGTACATGACAGAATTCGATGTGGTCATGGAATTGCTTCGACCATTAAAAAGAAGAACCATTAATTTATTTATAATCAAGAAAACAAACCCAGAGAAGAACAGAGGAAGAAGAGCATCTTTGAAAACTCATATCAACTTTTTTGTTTTTAACAAATACAAATTCAATTGTCTAAGACTTTAACATAGAGACAATTCATAAGCTTCTATTTATTTTACCTTAAAGTCAAACTGAAATTGTTTCAGTACCAGTGAATAGGTATTATCATACAAAGATAGTGCCTCCTTTCTTCACTGCATGAAAACATCAAACATGATAAGTGAAAAACATCAACAAAGATAAACAAAATCACTAAACCATTGATTATACATATGATATCATCTCATTCTACAAACAATGGGAATACCATTAAATAATAGAAAGACTATAGAAGAGGATCTTTTTGATCTTGATTAAGTGTCAAAGCCACAAGTTCATCCACTTAAAGAGTAACAGCTTTCTCAGAACTGTTGATAACTTCCAACTCAAGTCCCACGATTACCAAGCATACTAAATAACACAATAAAGACTCTCAACACACATATGCAAAAACATCAAATCAATGATGCAAACAGAAGAAGAGAACATACAAAAAGCTTGTTAGTGCTCTTCACATTAATTTTCAGATCATCAGCCTCAACCATGGAGAAATATCAGTGAGGAAAAACGAATCACGTTAGCAAAGTAGAAGGGAAACTAAACAACTGAAAGAGAGAGATTGTTTGTAATGATTGAGGGAGAGGAACTGATGAAATTCACTTCAAGAATCTCACATATTTATAGATTGTACATCAATATTTTCTAAAATGAATTCAAGAGTGCTTATTTGTAGAAATCGATTGAGAGGAAGTTCCAGACCTATGAGAGATGCTCCAAATCC